CTTAAGGATAAGTACGGTGTTGCGTTTTAAGGAAACAACCTAAAGAGACGGAAAGTAATATTTCGGAAAATTAAAAAACAATTTTTGTCTGATTTTTTCCTTCTTTGCAAATATTTTTTTCTAATTTTCTGAAAATTGTTATCATCTTCTGAACGCATATTTCTTTTTTATTTTCTTTAGTTTGATTTCTGTATGTTTTTCATATTTAGTATTTTCCTTTGGCAATATATTTTTGTGTATCTGGTTTTGTTTTACGGTAATAGAAATAGGTTTTTTATTTATACGTTACGGAAATGATGTATTTTGATTTACCTTTCATTTTTCTCAAGGGAATGACATTTACTTCATATTGAGTTGGCTATTTACTGGACTTATCCTAAGGATAAAGTTCACATAACTATATGACCAGACGTTTAATACACTGTATATCTGTTTGTTTTTGTGGCATTTGTTACCGCAAATGTTTAATGGAATATATAAATTGTGTGTGTATTTGTAAGTAATTTGGTTAAAATCGAGATATTAGTATATAGAATTATTCAAACTATGGCCTAGGTGTAAGGTCAAATACACATATTCACCTACAAAAATACTCATAAATAGTAATTTTACTGTATTTTTTTTTGTGTGAGTTTATGGATTTATTTCTTCAGATAAAAAGTTAACAAATGTTATTTGGACAGTAAATATCACTATTAAGTATATCTTAAATTCTAACATTTAAACTTATAATTGTCAAATCAAATACTAAAATATTAAAAAAACACAGTAGTGTGTCGATAGCTAAATTTTAAAATAAATTACAAAGTATATTTCAAAATAAGTGTTACTGCTTGTAATAAAATGTTTTCTTTTTAACATCTGTTTCGATCAAAATTATTTTAAATACATTTGCACTTAAGTAATTTGCATTTAAAATTAAAAAATGGAAAATAATGAGAACGATATCTCCAAAGACAATAATTCATTTATAAACGACATTGTTTACAGTATTGGTGTGATAAGTCAGCTCTGTGATTACGCGATTAAAGAATGTGAAGTTCTTATAAAAGAAATTTCTGTTACAGAACATACTTGTAAAAATCCGTTTCAAAAAACACTTAAAGCTAATAAGATTTTAAGAGCTTGCGTTAGTGAAACTCAAAACATGTTAATTATGGCAAGGGATTCTACTCCATTCTACTGTGATACCTATATAGATGAAAGCTTAGAAATTCTACAATGTATTGCAGATAAACTAGTAGCCGTATATGATAACGTGCACCAAGTGGAATGTTTGCATGATAGCAAATGCTATTCAATTGGTAAGCATAGTTGAATCAAAACCACCTGGAAGAATCATCAGCTTATAACTGCGATATTTGCAAACCAGCTATAATAAGCAATGAAGTGTACTAAATTCAAACACTTCTATACCCAATTGATATACTCACGAAATGAACAGTAGTATCATTCTCATCGAATATAAAGTGTTGGACCATATAAGACCATATAATCGTAACAATAACAATGCACTAATTTTTAAAGAGAGAGGACTTGTCTTAATGAAAGTTATGAAGAGTGAATATAATTAGTGTTAAATATTTAACTGCCAAAATTCTAAATAAAAATTAACTTAAGTTGCAAAAGCAGTGTTGGATCAAGAATAATATGAGCCAAGTGCTTCAACGGAAGACTAAATATTTAAAAATATTCTATATTAGTATAAAGAAAGGGGATATTTACAGCAGCCCATACTGATCCAAACGGACCCAAATAATATATACAACATAAAATAAATCAATAACTAACTGCAATTCGAAAAGGATTTAAAAGTTTTTTAAAATTAAGTAGCAACTTAATTATGTGGTTCATAAGTACTTGATTACCGCCAAGTTGTAAAAAAGTGCAAATGTATTAAAACACTTCAAATATATCTAATAATAAAATTTTTAGGTCAAAGTTAAAACAAACTATAATATTTTTATTTCAAAAATGGAGACGTTTCATTCGCATTTGTAAAATCTACGATTGAGCAAAAATAATTTTTAAAAAATTTTTAATTAAAAAAAGGAAATGTTTTATCAACTATTGCAAGAATTTCTCTTTACTTAAAACTTTATCTATACTAAAAATTGTGTATATTTATATTTGTGTGTATAGTTTATTTATGCTAAAACTTGTACATAATGTTAAAACTAAAAATATTAATATATTTCATACTATGTAAATTGCTAAAAGTGTATTTATGTCAGCTATACAGTGATGTTCAAGTTCCAATTAATTGACCCTTGGACTCCGGTACACCTACTGGCTAAAATTTTGTCTTTGACACATTGAATATATCGTACACATTTTTCTTAATTACTTAAGGTATATCCATCGGTAGCACATTAAGGACACCAACCTTTCGTGATTTATATTCTTTTAGTGCCAATAATCTTGACTTTTGGTCTGATGGCAATTATTGGTAATTCTTTTGCCAAGTCTTGTCAATATGCAAATTTAAAGCTAAACTCCTGAATAAAAATAGGAGTTTAGCTTCAAAATTGGATTTTTGTAGTTTACATATTTATAAAATCATTTGAAATCAAAAAGTATCACCTAATAAACGCAACTGCGGCTAAATCTATTGTCTTGTAATACGATTTTATTTGAAATCTGAATAATGTTACACTTCAACAGAAATCATATACATTGTATATATATATATATGTATATGTATTTTGTTTTTTTTGTGTAGTACACAAAAGCTTTCATTACTTGTCAATGTTTCACACACAAAATTTGTGTCAACACAAAAGATACAGACAAAACATTGTGTTGTTCTATTATTTATTCTATAGTTTTTCTCCTCTTTTGTATGTTACTGTCACTTATTCTATTCTATTTCATTCCATTTTATTTTATTGTTTTCCTACTTGTTGGCTATTTCTTGTTGTTTGTTTTTTTTGTTATCCAAAAATTGTTTGCCAAATGTATTGAAAATAATTAAATGTAAACAGTGCGAAAAGTCAAGAGTTAAATTGCCTAATTTGTTTATAGGCAAAATTTAGATATGAAAGAAGGACACACAATTTGTCCTTTTTATAAATTATTTAAAATTTAATCAAATTGAAGTTTTAAACAAATATTTACGAATTTTCCAAATATTTACTTATTGTCCTTTAAATCTTTTTTCAGTGTGATGTTTTCGATGAAATTGATTTATCTGACTTGTGTACTGCCGAGTGTAGCATCAAAAACGTAAATCATAGTTTTCAGGTAAGTGGATACTGTTGAAATAATAAAAAGGTAAAAATATTTTATTTTATTGAACTATTTATACATTTTTCATTATATGACTAAAAATATGTTACTGATGGTTTTTAATAGACAATTAAAAATACACAAATGATGACATTTGATCATCATGATATTTATGATATTTAAAGTAAATTCCTATTTTTATCATTAAATGTATATATTCAACTTAATATAATAAAAGTAGAAATTAGTTAATTTAATAAAAATAACCTTTTACACCTTTAATATTTTAATTATATTTTTTAATTATTTTAATTATAATTATATATAAAGTAATAGAAATTCACTCGTGAAATCTTTAAATAAAACGAATTATATTAATGGTTAGTTGGTTGGTTGGAATAGCTGAATGGGAGGTACCTTTCTGCCCTATTTTGTTAACAATTATTTGCCTTTTTAATACCATATTTCTCGCAAAGAACCCTTGAAGATAAATAAGTCACAATAATAGTTAATTATATTTTCATAAGTTTTTCAAAACTTCTCTAAACTGTTAATTTAACTAAAAAATTGTAAACCACAAAGTATCAATTCGTCTAATGTAATTACTCAAGCTTGTTCTTGAATTGAAATGTAGAAGTTGTATTTTTCTTTTTTATTTTAATTATTCCTACAAGTGGGATAATTCAACACAAGCTTTAAACTTTTTGATTTAAAATTTTTTATAACGTTTTAAAAAGAAAATATTACCTTAATTTGCATGATTTATTGTGTGTTGTCTTGTTTTTATATAGGTTTTAATACTAATTATGTGAAACATGGTATATTTATATTAAGTTCTTGACATTTTTTTATAGTAATTATATTAAGTTCTTGACATGTTGAGGAATATTAATATTTCATATAAATTAAATTAAATTAACTGAACTGGTCAGTCATGTGTAAGTATCAGTATAAGAACAGTTAATCACTTTACTTTAAAGACAGGATTAGAAGAAAAGCAGAACGTATAAGAATTTAAAAAAAGTCTTTGTTAGTAAACTTAACACAGCAGTTCAACAAAGCATATACAACTTTTATAATCAGATAAAAAATAAGTATATCACAGTTTAGCTCATTCATCAAAACTAAGATGTCAAACGGAAAATTTTTTTTTCGGAAACGACATAAGATGTACAACGGGAGTGTTCATTTACCAAATACAGGATGTAAATACAGGATAGAAAAATTTAACCAAAAAAAAATTATAAACACAGGTCATGCAATAGTTTACAATCTTTTTATCTATCTTGGGAATATTTTTTATTCAAGAATTTTCCTTTTATCCAGGGCCATTCTTCTGCAATTGTTCTTCAAAGTACATAAATTCACAAAATAGGATAGTAGGATAACTTTTATCCGACTTTTTTAACCGATTTAAGAAAAATACAGTTAACAGAAAAATTTGGATAAAGAAATTTGCTTTTCTTATCAATGAAATAAATGATAGGAAATCCTTCTATTATTAAAATAAATTTTTATCAAAAATATAATAAAAATCAAAATAATACTATTTATTTAATTAAAATAAATGCGCAGATTTGCATGTTTTATTTAATGATATGAAAACATTTTTTAACATATTCACAAAGCATTTAATTATCATTCCAATCCTGCAAAATAACTACTCTAGATTTCTAGATGTCTCGGGATCCATTTAATGAGTTTCTTTCAGTTTGATCTGTAAAAATTTTAGTTAACATTTGTACTGTAAAAATGTGTACATTGTATTTTAACTTCTTTTATAAATTCACCCAAGTCATCCACATCATTTATTATTTGATTTCTTTCATTCCTTGGCGCCCCAAATGGTAATGGCTCAATCAGTTCTGCTTCATCGAGTTGCGCCAAATAGAGAAGACAGTCTCTGTGTATATCCTCCAGTTTATTAAGCAAATTTTCTCTCAATTCCCTGCGTTCTTCATCTACATTTATCACTTCTAATATTTCTGCAGAAAATATAAGAAAATTAAGCTTATTAATTAAGTCTGTAATCCGATCTGCATGCGACAAAACTAATTTCAATAGAGTTAGGCATTCAAATGCTTCGTCTCCGACCGGATATTCTCTTTCTTTTGGTTTGCACATCTATACATATACAATGCAGGCAATTATTTTATTGACTTATTTAATTAAGTTAATACTTATTAAATCAGAATATATAAAATAACGTACAATAAGTGACTTAACTATGTATATGCTTACAGTTAACTCGTAATTCGATGTAGTAAATCACACCAGTATATTTAACAAGTTCTTTGAAGAGTAGTTAAAGAGCACTAAGATACTAAAAAACATAGCATATAAGACTTTGAACATGCCTATTATAGGATTTCGCTTACCTGACTCTGACTTTGTCCCTCTCTTAATTTACTTTGAAGTTACAAATTTTGTTCTATGTGAGGAATGCTATGTGTATAGTATGTGAAGAGGTTTCTTAATCTATAAAAAAATGTTTTATGATTTTTGTTTTCATTTCATATTTAAAAGAGCAAAATGGACAAAATGGTCTGGACAAAATAATCTATCTCAGAAATTTGAAATTTACGAATAAGTTATCTATGGGCCATGTTATGTAGCGTGTCTCAGGCACTCTACATACGAAAATGTATGTTATGTAGACTGTCAATCAATATTGTCAATTTCGTATTTTTGCAATGTTTTGGTACTTTTTGGTTGTGCTTAAATTAAAAAATAAAATGTGGATTTGCTTACTTTTAATTTGCCACCAAAATTAACTAGGAAGAAAAAACTCAAAGGCTGTATTAATGTTAATTTATTGTTATATTATCTTACATATAATAATTGTTAGCAGTACTTACAAAATTACACGTCTTTCCCTAAAATCGGGAAATGTAATAATTGGGATCTTACCGGTTCATAAAATAGGCTGTCTTGTCTAAAAAGCGCAAATTCTGAAATTTATTACTAAACAAAACTGCATTGCTTAAATGCCGAGGCACAAATAGCCCAGTTCTCATGCCGGGCTATTTCATCTCAATTTTATCATTTGCATTGAAAACAAACACAATTTTACTCATGCCGTGCCCGAGACACTCTATATAGCATGGACCTATTAATACGTTAATGCGATACGTTAATACGATATACCATAATTGCAATTTTCAACTTACGATTTTCAAAAAATGCAAACTTACAGGACCACCTTACAAAAATTGAGTGTGTTTATATTCGGAAATAAGTAACTTTCTGTTCAGTATTGCCATCTTTACAGTGTTTATTAATGAAAGGCTTAATTCAAATTGTAGGCATTGCCATTTTGCTTAAATTTTTAATCTGGTAACACGAAGAGAAATGAAAAAAGAGGAAAGTAATGAACGTTTTGTTCAACTCTCGAATATATTTTTATCCCATAAATAGTGATTTCTGAAAATTGTTAGTATGAGAAAATTGCAACTTCCGTTCGCTTAAATGTCGTTCATAAGATCAAAAAATATACAAGTATACATATTTTAAGGAAAGATAACGATGATGTATCTTTTAGAATAATAAGTAATAATAATAAGATTATAAGTTATACCTGCAGTATCTTTAAATTTAATCTTTGGATATTAACGCACCCAATAAACATCAAAATAGCTATCCGTCACAAGTTCCTCATGATATATGAAACGTAAGCGACCCTAACTGTATATTAAGCATATATTTTATATTCAGATTTTTTTTACAAATTAATAATGTATTACCTTCAACTACAAAAAGTGCTATTTTAAACTATTTTAATATTTTATCTATTTTAAATATTATATTTTAAAAATAATTTTTTTTCACTTCTGTCAAATGAAGTAAATCACTAAGGCAGTGTCCAATTTAAAATAATTTAAAGAAATTTTTGCACTTGTTTTATATAGTTCGTTAAATTAATTATTCAATTATACATTAAGACTGAAAAGTTTTCGGAAATTCTCATTTAAAATTCGCGCGCTGTATATTTTTCGATATTTTAAGTTTATGTAGTTTGGCAGCACTGTCCTTAATTACTATGCCAAAAATGAGCTCGATCTGTCAGACAGTTCGTTTACGGCAGCTGTTGAAACCAGTTCACCTCAGTAGTGCGTTGCGAAATGTCTTCGACGGTCGTACGACCGTCCTGGAAGGCTTTGTACCACTCATAAACTTGAGTTTTCGATAAAACTGATTCCCCATAAGCCTTTTGTAGCATTCGCAACGATTCTGCACACGAAATTTCGTTCGAAACACAAAATTTGATGCAAACTCTTTGTTCAATATTTTTTTCCATTGTTTTTTTCGCAACGCCCTACTGAGGTGAACTGGTTTCAACAGCTGCCGTAAACGAACTGTCTGACAGATCGCGCTCATTTTTGGCATAGTAATTAAGGACAGTGCTGCCAAACTACATAATAAAATATCGAAAAATATACAGCGCGCGAATTTTAAATGAGAATTTCCGAAAACTTTTCGGTAATGTATTAGATTATCTACTTATTTGGAATAAGAATTTAGTAAAACTGAAAAAATTAGTTATTTTTTTGATGTTTTTAGATCATATTATAATCTACGTACTCTCTGACCGGATCAGAGAGTTTGCTCTGCTGTATTATCATTTATTTTGTACTGTGATTAGGCAGGCACGAGAATAGCGGCTCTGCCGTCGGTGAAAATTGCAAGCTATTCATTTTGTAGATTCTTTTCCAAAATCAGTAGGTTCATTTCCAAAGATGTCTACGCCCAGTCCATTTTCAATTTTTGTCCATCAATCTAAATTGGCTATTTAAATTGCCTTTTTCTTTTATTTATATCTTGACAAAAACATTGAATGAAATAATTTTTGGAAGTGGATCTGGAAGTGTAGCCAAAACGCCCTTTCGAATTCGTTTTCGAACACCCATTTCTGTGCAGTGAAAGCACTGACGTTGAGGCACTATTTATAATATGTAATTCTATTGAAAACACTTCACGTGTGGCGTGGAGAGGCTTTCACGTCTCTATATAACTTAGTAGAAATGATATTTTAACTGTATTATAGTTTTGTATTTGAAAATACTTACGTATAAATAAAAGCCCTTCATGTTTAAAGAGGAGATTATTCATATAATATACTGCTTGCAGCTATTTAAATACCTCTTACAGCCACTATACATTTCCATGAATTATATATGTATTTGAAGCTATTTTCTAAATGAGCTACCACTTGAATATTTTTGCTCTAGAACTATGTAGGTTTTGTTCATATTATACAAGTATTATGTTTCTCATCATTTATGAAAGAATTTATTTTTAATTGTATTAAAAACAAACTAACTTTCTATTGAAGTTCCATTATATCAAACTAACTAGCTAACTTTATCTGCAGGTCACACAAACTTAATTCACAATAAACTCTTAATTTGTTCAATTAACTTTGTCTGTTATTAGAAACTTCACAATAAACTCTTAATTTTTTTAATTTGATTCAGAAAATTAATTTTATTTAAATTTAACAAATTGAATTCTTCATTTAATTTACACAACTAGGACTTAAGCACTTGTAAATAAAATATTAGAGTTTGCACAAATATCAAATTAAAAGTAATCGACATAATATTTTTTAAAAATAATACAGAGTTTCTAATTTATTTTAGCGAATTGAAAAAGAATCTTATTACAGTAATAATTCTTTCAAAATTTTATGTGCACATTCTATATACACATATATTCATTGAACTCATTAAGAATTTATTGAAAAATTGTTAGGTTGCCGGCATCTTTATCTACTTCACCATATCCCCTAAATAATATTAAATGAAATTTTCGACATTTCAGATCCCGCGCGTGTGTGAAAATATTCATTTCACTTCTATCGAAAATATAACTTCAAATAAATATTTAACAATTTGGTAAATTTTAAGTGTAAATATTTAATATATCTTTTAAATTTTCGAGATCATTAGTATGTAAACCATATCATTGTTAGGGAATCCGAAAAAATTGACTCAAACAAAAAAGATATAAAAAAGCATAGAACACAGAAAAACTGTACTTGACAAAGTGGAAAAAATTTAATTACGCCTCGAGAAATGTTGGGAAAAATAAGTTAAAATTAAGATTAAAAAGAAGCAAACTCTGTATATCCTGCCACGATTTCATCAATCACAAAAAGGCATACTTGAACACAGTTGCCAAGGATTTGGCAGTAATTGTTGGTACTTTCGTAATGCTGATTTTGTTGTTGCTACTGATTTATATGAAACTCATTTCAAAATTGAATTTTTTTTTTGTATTTAATTTTCTTTTTTCCTTTTTTGGCAATTAAGTATTTTGTAATTACATATACACATGCTAAAATGTTCCGGAAGAGATTCATTTGTGTCCTTTGCAGTATGTACGTTTAAATAAAGCAGAGTTAGAAACCTGAAAGTATTGATACCAACAAAATGTATTCACTTACTTTTTATTTAAATTATATATAATGAGAAATAATAAAAAGTATTGGAAAATCTTCTTTACTGATTGCAATCGGTTTCAAATTACTTTAAAGGTAGTTAAGCTTTTTATTGTATCTAAAAAACTTCCTTAAATATTAAGTTAAATTAAATTAGAAATCCATTTAGATTTTTTTCTAATTCTAATTAATTTTAATTGAAAATGCCTCCAAAAGAAAATTCTTAAGCCGATTCACTGTTAAAAGTAATTAGAAATTATTGTATGCGAGTGAGTTTAAAGGATTAATTCGAAATAGCGAACATTTAGTGTTATATACTAAATACAAAAAAAAGGTTTTAAAATTAGATCAAATCAAATGCTGAAAATTCTAAAGAAAAGGATGAGAGAAGAAAATTGTCAAGAGGCTTAAAAATCGAAATGTGGTAATATTTGCTATCAGAGATACGCCAGTATTTAGTTTTCTAATTGTAGAAGCATTACTTTCTCCGTATTATGTTCCCTATATCAGGTTGTATACATAAGAAAGAATAATCTAAAAGCATGTAATAAATACTGCCACTACTATAGAATAGTATAAAAATTTAACAATTAAAAATAAAATTATAATTAATTAATTAATTCAATTATTCTACAGCTGATTTATGATTTCTTTCTAATATAAACACAGCAAGTAAAATTGTTAATAAAAACTTTCATAGCAAAAGTAACAAAACTCCAGAAAAATATGCGAACAAAAAAGTCAAGTACGGCTTAGGATCAGTTGGTTTGGGTGCGCTGATTCTGAGCTTCACATTTGGCAGAACCCGAGTTCAATTCCTTGTACTGGCAGTCTCAAAAATAATTATTTACGAATAATTAAATACAAGAATTATTTCCATGACCACTGATGATGGGTATTTGGCAATACTCGAAACATTAAAATAATATAAAAAATAAAATTTTTGTTGTTGTAGCTCACTACTGTTCGAAAAACCTCTTTATTAAATATTTATTAAATGGTACATTTTGTGTGTATTCTACTTATTTTTTATTTTTGTGTCGTAAATTTTGTACCAGACTATCGCATCCGGCGCAAAATTAATACAATTTCACTAAAAGGGGTATAATTGATTTCCTGCTTTTTAAATTCAAATACATCCTAATCAAATTGCTGCTGACTATACCAATTGACGTAAATTTTCCAATTATGC